GCGGGGCGGAGGCGCCGGGGAGCCGCAGCCCCCCGGCCCGGTCCCGCCCCACCGGCACCGGCACCGCCGCTCCATCCCTCGGGGGCGGACCCGGAGCCGGTAACGTGTGCGGGACCCCCGGGACGCGGTACCCGGAGGAGCATCGGGGCGGGCGGATGAGGGTTCGGGTGGGGAAGGGCTGAACCGGGGCTGCGGGACCCCCCGGGGGGGATCACGGGCTGCGGGGCCAGGACCCCGGCTCGGCCCCCGGTCGCCCTGCCGTGAGCCCCGGGACGGGACGGGCACGGCTGCTCTGCGGGCACACGGTTTGTACCCGCCCTCCCCTAACGGCTTCGGTCCAGCAAAGGCGGGTCAGGAGCTGCCAGGCCTCTGCCCCCGCCCCAGGCTGTCCCCAGGGCCACCTCCAGCCAGCCAAGCCTCGGGTAGGCTCAGGTCAAAGGCTCCTTGAGGGCACATCTGGCCCTGGCTCCCTCACCAGATCACCCAGGGCCACCACCACCACCATCACCACCATCACCACCAAGGGAAACCAGCAACCGGGTCACACCGGGATGGCTCTGCAGCCACCATCCTGTCTCCAAGCAGGTACCTCATGCCCACAGCAGGGAAGATGGAGGAAACCACCACGGACCCGGTGGCCAAAACGACTATTTCTCCCCAGTTCCACCACCCAGATCTCAGAACACATCTGGGGTGAGGGAGCGATGGAGGAATTTCCAAAGGCACTGGCCTCGCACACAGGGAAGGTGAAAGCGGGGCCCTGAGGGCAGAGGGTCACCCAGCTGCCCCAGGACCTGGCACCCCGACATTTTAAAAGCAAAATACAGCTGGAGAGGGAGCCCCAGGAACAGCCCCACCACGCTCGGGCACCACGTGCAGCCCCGACGGACACGGGGCTATTTTCCATCCTCCACCACCCCATTGCCAGCGGAGGATACGTTACCCAGTGACACTTTCTTGGCTCACAGCCCAGCGGCGCCTCTTTTGACATACGAAAAGTGTTTCTTGGCTCAAAGGAAAAAAAAACCTGTGTAGTGTCCAGAAATAACTTGTTTCTGCCACGGGAGAGATTTAAGTCAAGCCTCCTGTGCTGAGATTAGCCGGGTTTACAGAAACACTGACGCGATTTTGCTTTTCAGCAGCAGGAAAGTCATTCCCTCCCACCCCATCTTTTTTTTTTTTTTTTCCATTAGGAAAACGGGAGCCTTTCAAAGAGAAATCGCTTGGGTTTTACCCGCACTGGCGAAATAAATAGTAATAAGCAACAGAAGGGGTTTTTTTTGGGAAAGAGCAGCCGACGCAAGCAGGGAGATGAGGGGAAGAGCGATCACGGAGCGTTGTGCACAGAGGCACAAGCCATATGGGTGCTGCTGGGGCTTTCACAGCCACAGGGAGGAGGAACTCTCAGTGAGACACACTCAGAGCCCCCCAGACCCACAAACACCTCCCCCCGTGCTGTTTTTATGCCCCCATGGGGGAAGGGGCCCGGCCGAGCAGAGGCTGAGCTGCTGGTCAAAGCCTGGCATTTCTAGAAGTCCTCTGCTCATCCCTGGAGCGTCCCTCACGCACTGGGCACTAACACAGCGAGCCACCGACAGCATGAAATGGCAGAGCCATCGACGCAATGATGGTCTTATATATTTATTCCTTTTTTTTTTTCTTGGTTTTAAAGGACAACACATCCAGACAGCTTTAAATACAACGTCCGAGTACGACTCCTGATGAAAGCAGCAAGGGTGCAGCATGTGCGCTTATATTCACACCCGCTGACACCAGCCCAGTCCTAGTGGTAGAGACAGCTCCTGTTAAAAATAAAAATCCACGTATTTAATATTTCATCAACCGAGAACTACCATTTTAAGGCATAAAAGAAGTGGGTCAGGCAGAGAGAAGACAAGCTGAATACCAAAAGCAGGCATGAAATGAGTCTTGAAAGTGAGCAGCGAGAAGGGGCACAGCCCCCACGCTGACCCAGGAGGAGAGTGTGGGGGGAGGCCACACAGGAACAAACAGGAATGTGGAGGGATCTGCTGCAGGCTGGCCTGAGGCCACCAGCTCATTTCCCCTGCAGCCCCAGAGCACCTCAGGGCAGTGGTTCCAATAACCCTTTCCTGCCCGTTTCCCTTTCCTGCTCCTCTCCCGCTGCGGCTGGTGAGGAGGAAACGCTGGGAGCTGTGGTGTCACACACCCCTGGAGGTGCCCACTCCACACACCCTGCGCATGGCCGAGGAGCAATGGAAAGATGGACTTGCAGGACTAAAGTCAATTTGCCAGATCTGTGGATAATCTGAGCGCTTGAAGTCCAGGCAGGGCGAGATGACAGGTCACCGAGCCCCACATCCTCCCTCCAACAGCAGATGCCTCAGGAAAACCCATACACTTTATCCCCCCAGCTCGGAGCAGGCAGCTGCTGCCAGCTCCCTCCCAGGCTTGCCAGACTCCTGCCTGCCACATGGCCATCCATTGTCATCGTAAGTGTCACACGTGCACATGTACCCCGTGCACACCATCGTTACCCGAAACACTCGCCGGAGCACGTCTCTACTCACCAGGCATTGAAGAACTGCTTTTATTCATAAACATCCTTCTTATCTGCAATGTAATCTACAATCTCTTGTGGACACATTAACTTTTCTGCATCTCCATCAGGAATTTCAAACCCTGGAAGAAAAAGTGCACAGATTTAGCTCAAAACAACGGAAACGGGAGCAAGGCTAAAGGAAGCAATTACTGCTGGCTCAGATGGCTGCAGCTTGGCAGGGGACAAACAGGCAGGGGCTGCTGGGTCAGTCGGAGCCAGCCCTTCATGACTACGCTGAGTTTCAAGCTATGTCCTGTCCTGCCTTCCACGACGCTCGGGATAAGGGACGGGGCAGACACAGCAGGGAGGGAAGTGGCCAAGCCAGCTGGTGAGTGTCCCTCACACCTCACTAAAGCCACCAAGGCTGCCAGAGCCACCGGTGTGTGACAGGAGGGGGATGTTGGTAACTCCAGGCAAGCCAAGGCCCAAAGTCCCTCAGGTTCTGAGTCTGCTCATACAACCAACAGCTCGTACAGAGCCACAGCTAGGGACAGGGAGCACGAGGGCTCTTGGCCGTGGAACTGGTCAGAAACACAGTCAAAAAAATTTACATTCTTCTTTCTAGTGCCCACACTAACACTCCACCTGCAGTACACAGGCAGTGTATCAAATATACAGCATCAGCAAATGCTCTCAAAGTGAAACATCTGCCTAGGCTTTAGAGAATGACCAGACCCCTGGGACATAATTTATGACCCATGGGACATACTCCAGAATTTATATGCTTTAAATGAATGCAGTACACAGGCAGTGTATCAAATATACAGCATCAGCAAATGCTCTCAAAGTGAAACATCTGCCTAGGCTTTAGAGAATGACCAGACCCCTGGGACATAATTTATGACCCACCAGGCAAGCCAAGGCCCGGAGCCCCCCAGGTTCTGAGTCTGCTCGTACAACCAACAGCTCGTACAGAGCCACAGCTGGGGGCAGGGAACACGAGGGCTCTTGGCCATGGAACTGGTCAGAAACACATTCCAAAAAATCTACATTCTTCTTTCTAGTGCCCACACTAACACTCCACCCGCCACCAAGGCTGCCAGAGCCACCGGTGTGTGACAGGAGGGGGATGTTGGTAACTCCAGGCAAGCCAAGGCCCAAAGTCCCTCAGGTTCTGAGTCTGCTCATACAACCAACAGCTCGTACAGAGCCACAGCTAGGGACAGGGAGCACGAGGGCTCTTGGCCGTGGAACTGGTCAGAAACACAGTCAAAAAAATTTACATTCTTCTTTCTAGTGCCCACACTAACACTCCACCTGCAGTACACAGGCAGTGTATCAAATATACAGCATCAGCAAATGCTCTCAAAGTGAAACATCTGCCTAGGCTTTAGAGAATGACCAGACCCCTGGGACATAATTTATGACCCATGGGACATACTCCAGAATTTATATGCTTTAAATGAAAGCACAGAGAAGTCCAAAATGAAGTAAAAAGAAACTTGGAATACAAAGTAGTAAGGAAAAAACTCTCTTTTTTCCCTAGCAGTATCAAGTGTTGAGGATGAAAAAAATTCCAGTGAGGAAAAACCTGAAATAGTGATTTCCCAAGCAGGAGCTAAGATCAGCTCCAATACAACCTTCCTGTTAAATGTAATATCCATGGCCCCACAGGACATACTTCCAGGATTCATAAGCTTTAAATGAAAGCAGAGGGAAGTCCAAAATTAAGTAAAAAGAAACCTGGAATACAAACTACTAAGGAAAAACCTCTCTTTTTTTCCTAGCAGTATCAAGTGTTGAGGATGAAAAAAATTCCAGTGAGGAAAAACCTGAAATAGTGATTTCCCAAGCAGGAGCTAAGATCAGCTCCAGATACAACCTTCCTGTTAAATGTAATATCCATGGCCCCCACTTACACACTGCTGTCCCTCGCTACCCCCTTCTCCAGCAACAGGACAGGTGGTGCCCAGGAGGGGCACCAGGAGAGAAGCAGGACATGTGGTCCAGTGGGAGATGTCCCTGCCCATGGCAGGGGGTTGGAACTTGATGAACTTTAGGGTCCTTTCCAACCCAAACCATTCTAGGAGTCTATGCTTCCAGAGGGTCCGAGCTCAGAAGCACATGGACAGATGCCTTCTGACTCCTGCTGGTGCCACTAGCAACGAGCCCATGCTCTCACTGACAGAGAACTGCATGACTATATGATTCTATGATCTTTTTTTGAATGACATCACAGAAAAGTCAGTGTTACTATTCACAGAAAAGCACTGATATTGATTTGCTGCAGCTGCGCTTCAGGATTAGGATGAGTGCATGCTCTCACTGACAGAGAACTGCATGACAGTATGATTCTATGATTTTTTTTTTAATTACATCACAGAAAAGTCAGTGTTACTATTCACAGAAAAGCACTGATATTGATTTGCTGCAGCTGCGCTTCAGGATTAGCCAAAAAGAGGTAGCGGTGCATCCAAGCATGCACAGCTCTGAATTACCAAACTCGTCTTCCATGGCCATGATGATTTCCACTTGGTCCAAACTGTCTAAACCCAGGTCTTTCATGAAGTGGGACTCGGCTGTGAGCTGGGGAGAAAAATCGAAGATCATTTGGCTGCAGCCATTTCAGTGCGACAGAACCTGGCGCAGGACAGGAGCTTTTGGCCTCCTTGTCCTCCCCAGCTCGGCCGCCCCCTCCCCAGCCTGCCCGCGGCCTCGGGGGCTGGCCCCACCGCCCGCCCCGGCCCCACTCACCTTCTCCGGGTCGATCTTGTCGTACAGCTTAAGGACGTAGAGGACGCGCTCCTTGATGTCCGCCAAGGTGAGGGGCGGCAGCTCGGAGAACCGGCGGCACGGCGGCCAGGCCGCCCGCGGCAGCACCTGAGAGAAAGCGTGGGGTCAGCGGGCAACACCGGGCCCCCCCCGCCTTCCCTCCCTCCCTCCCTCCCTCCC